CAACTGCTCTTGATACAGTAGAAATTTTCGAAATTGATTCTTTGTACTGAATGGAATGTAAAACAAGTTAGAAATCATTTATAAAAATGAAAATTTAAGTTTCTACTAAATCGTATTCTGCCAAGCGAAAAATTTCGTTTATGCTGAATCTCAGTTCTCTTTAATGATATTTTTGATTGATTTCGAAGGGTAAGTTTTTTTTCCCTTAAGAAAGTTGAAATTCACTATGTTTGTTACTCATTTAGTGGTAAATAGCAAACGATGCTTCGGAGCCAATTGCCTTTTCTGCAATTTCTTCTAAAGGAAAATACGATTTTTTCAACTATTCTTCATGCAAAACGTGAATATTTTTAAACATAAATAATAGCTCTAAATACATAATGCGTTGTTAGTTTTCTGAACGGTTTGGATTTTCTTTCATCATAAATTTCACGATGAGGATGTATAACCTCATTTGCCATTTCTTCGACTCCTGTAAATTTGTCAGAGTTTGGTTCTATGACTTAGAGGTTTAAAAGAAGTTAATTTAGCATTGTAATGCATTCAGATATAACCTATGAGTTAAATATTTTTTATGGTTACATTTTCATAATATTCTTTTCTTGTTCTTCCTTTTTGTTGTTCTTGTTCTCTTCTTTTCTCCTGCTGACTTCGTTTCCCACTTATTCAATTTACAGCTCATTTGTTAATTCTCGTGGTTCTTTGCATAGCAATAATTATTTAACTTTCAACTTAACATTCCAGAGAAAAGTTTTTTATAAGTGTAACAATATTTTCGTGAATGTTTGGCGATCGTCCTCACGAAATATTCCAGTTTATTTATAAAACGCTTAACATACTTTTACCAAATCCCGTATGAACTTAGCTACAACACTTTTCAAGAAGTAGCAAGATACATAACACATTTCAAAATGCCATATTTTTCCCGAAATCACGGAACAAAAGCTCTGAGTCTGTAGTGGTTGCTGCAGTAACCACAAATGCATAATTTACCCCAAATTCAGCAATGTAAACTTAATTCGTAGGCTCAATACTGAGAAACAAGGAAAATAATATTTATATCGGATTCAAATCTGTCAAACGTGAGGGATAGCACGGTGCATTATTTATAAGTTAGAAAAATAAAATTTTTTGCTGCACCAATATCTCATATTTGGGAATGAAACAATTAAAAACCCCGTCTTTCGACAGAGGTCATCTCATCCATGGTTTGGCATTGAAGCGAAAATAAACTGAAAGTTTACGTTTATTAATATTTTTAAATGCTCTTTGGGTTTTCTAATAATAAACTAAAAATAGCTTTCTGCGATATAACGATTAAGAAGAAAAGTTAATCTATCCGTATATGCGTTAAATACTGGCATATCCTTTAAGTTATCAAGTTCTACAGATTTAAGGTTTTCACTGTATCTAAGCTAGCTGTTTCGTCTGCAAAACTAAAATTAGATCATAAGTTAAAATAATTATTATGTAGAATGTGACTTGCTTTTTAAATTATACTGGCTAGTGTTTAAACCACACATACATTTTAAAGCTTATTAAGTGTTTGAAAGGCGAAAGGCTTTTCTTTATCTAATATCTGATATTAACATCATAAATTCCTTTCCCAAATATGTCTGAAATAAAAGTATGAATGGATCGAATTTCAATACAATACTACGATACTACTCTCATAATAAAACTCCAGGTATTGCTCCCATTTAAAAAGCCTTTATTAGAGTTTATTTAAGATTGACAGCATCCGAGCTGCCAATTATGAGCATCTTAGGAAGCACTAAAATTATGGTATCTTGTATAAACGAACTTTAAAAATACATTATAAAATGATAATAGTATCAGGCTGAACTAATGGATTTGCACACGGCTGGTACACTTCCATCAGTTATCACACACCATTAAGCAGTGCTATTTACATTTAGGAAATATACTAAAATATGCCTATATATCATACACAGAGTATTCAGTTTCTTAACATAATTAATTAATTTGTCAATCTGGGTCACATAAAGTTTTTAATAGTAGTAGGATAAAGTTTTTAATAGTAGAGTAGTAGGATAAAGTTTTTAATAGTAGAGTAGTAGGATAAAGTTTTTAATAGTAGAGTAGTAGGATAAAGTTTTTAATAGTAGAGTAGTAGGATTTTTTTTAAAGTTTTTAATAGTAGTCGGATTTCAACAGAAACACAGGAAGATGTTTCTTTAGTTCCTAACTCTGAATGTATCATTTTACTGAATTATTAATCTGAGACATGACATAGTGCTTTTTAATATGTTGCTAATTTTGTAATGATTATATTTAGTTTTGCAATCATATGTGGAGTCTTGATTAGGTTATCTTTTGAAAGCAAGCTCATTGTTGACTAAGTTCTTTACGGAAACTCGGATGTTAAGGACATTTAAAGATACAATGATCTGAGTCTTCCGTTTCCCCACATATATGATTCCCGTAGAGAAAATATTTCTCACATTAAAATATGTCGGAAAGGGACCGTGACCACACATACACTGGAAGAGATGACCACTGGAAATGGTGTACTTTTTACTTGGGAGGAGAATGTGAGGCTTTCCTTTCTTTGAGGGCATTGTTTCACTCATTTTGACAACGCCATAAGACTTAGTTGGAATTTAAATATGACTAAGCCACGTCTTTTCGTAAATTCATCCTTGATTAATTGTTGCTGGATTTGCTAATTCATCGGGTTTTGTTTTGTTTTTCTTGACGACAATTAGGGCATTTGAAAAATGAGATTTTAATTGAAAAAATTTGATGGCCTAGTGCTTTCCATACTATTTCAATAATCAGTAAGATTTCCAATCCTGCTGTCATGTTAAAATTTATAAAATGCAACTACAAGAAGAGAGTTATTGACTACAATATAAAAAAATCAAATTAGCAATCACATTTTTCCTTCGGAAGTACGTTTATTGGCACATCCAATATGAAGAGGAATTAATTTTACTTAATCAGCAGTTAATATACTATGTCATAAAATAATAGGATTTAAAATGCAAGTGCATACGATGATTAAAGTTTCAGTTATAAGTAACGTAAAAGCTATAAATAAGAGAACTGTGTATTGTTCTTTTTATCAACAAAACATTTAAGTAAAAACTGGCATTAATCACGCTATACAACGTATTAAAAAGTAAAGAGATAATTATCAAAGACTGCATTTTGGACTTACAAAATATAATTGAAAGTTAAATTTCCAGTATTTACATAGCTAAATAGATTTCAGATGAAAATGTGGATAAAGTGTTATGAATAACAAGTCTTTCTACATGTTTTCTCTGAATTTAGTAGTTTTCCTAAGTGTTGTTTATGATGTATTTCATTAAAGAGTTGCTTTTCTTTCTTTTTATTAAGAAAATCAGACTTCTCAATTTTTTTGTGATTATTAAAATACGAAGTATGTTATCAGTTAACAAGATTTAGTTAATGTGAAATTAGTTTGAAGTGGAGAAGCAAATACTTTCAATTGCACCCAACATTTGGTACGTAAATAAAAGGTAATTTGATCTAAAGCAGAGGTTCTCAACTAGTGGTACAAGTACCACTGTTGGTAAGCAGCAAAAAATAGGTGGTACTCAAACAACGTATTTTTAACTATTAAATTCAAACATTAAGTACCCCAACTTTATGTTAATTTTTTTTCTCTTAACACTAGTAAATTTATGGGATCTGAACTTTGTGCAAGGTCAATAGCCGCTCATAGACTTAACCCATTCCCTGCCATGGGCCCCATTTGGGGATCACGAAAATTTTTATCTTGTTCATCCCTAAATTTTAGGTTTTCATTTATTTTTAAAGTCATGTGTCTACATAATAGTCTACTCTTAATGTAGATAGCTAATTTATTAGTTTTATTTGCAAAATAAAATACATATATGATATTTTTTCGAAAAATTTCCTGTAAACAACGCTTTTTCACATATGTCTATTTTCTAAGTGAATATATGTTAATTTATATTAAAATGAATTATTTTTTCTGACAGAGGTTGTTTGCACATGAGTTCTGAGTAATATAAAATAAAAATTGAGCACATTGTTTACTTCATGCCGTCAGCACCTGTAAAATACAATGATCCCCATTTGGGGCTCACGGTTATTGCAATGTAAAATGATTTATTTATGCTACAATTGAAATTTTCATTTGTTCAGTTATCTGGCGCAATATGTTTCCGGAATTTCCAAAAAGGCTGTTACCCACAAAAGTGTGGAATGCTTCCACTGACAAATATAGACTTGATACGGGGGGAAAGAAAGGGGGAGAGTTCCAGAAAGAATGTTTCTAACGAAAATGTTGAATTTGCCCACTTAATAATAATAATAGAAACAAGATGTGGGGGTGGAAATAGCAGGTGTTAAGAGCAGGTGATTCTGAAACGCACCTGCTTCTAATTGGGGTGGGACGTCGCCAGTCTTCGTCTATTGGGCAAGATATTTAAAATTTTAGAGCAGATGGACATGAACATTGTGCTGAGAAGTTGTGTCATTTAGAGAGTTTATCCGCAAGATCAACATGGTTGGATTTTGATAAATGTCAGTATTATTATAATTTGTGTTTTTTAAATATTTTTTTATTTCATTTGGATAATCATGAGTAGAAGAAAATTTCAACGCTAAGAGAGCTTGAAGAATATTGGGACAATGATCTTGATTTGACAGATGATGATGACCCAGGAGGTACTATTGACATAGTTGAATTACCACCAGATAGAGCGGATGATGTGTCTGATTTAGAAGATATAGATGACAACATTCTGGAAGATACAATTCCAAACGATGTTCCAGGTTCATTAGAAATTCATGGCGGTAGGTGTAATGAAGAAGTTGCTGTTCAAAGAAAAAAGAAACCAAAAAAGAAAAACCCATATCAAGGTGGAAAAGAGAAAGAGCATCATTCAACATTTCTAGTCAGGGAGAAGAAGAGTGCGAGCAACGTAGAATGACCATGATAGAAAGAGTAAAAAGATAAAAGATCAGTAGAAATTTTTGAAATGTTCTTCACAGATGATCTAGTAAATCACATCGTACATCAAAGTGTATCTTATGCAACTCAAAATAATCGTCACCAATATACGCTCTCTTCAGACTGCTTCAAAAAATTTTTGGGATTTTTACTGTTAACTGGATATCACTCTTTGCCTCAAGAGCAGATGTATTGGTCAGAAGAAGAAGATATAGATATTGGAATTGTAAGGAAATGTATGTCGAAAAATCGTTATATTGAAATAAAAAGAAATCTACATTTCAGTGACAATACAAATATACCACTAATAAATGGAAACAAAGACAGATTATTTAAAATACAACCAATCTTGGATGAGCTGAATAAAGCATTTATGCAGTTCGGCGTATTTTCGTATAACATATGTATTGATGAACAAATGGTACGTTATTATGGTCATCATTTTCTAAAGCAGTTTATTAGAGGAAAGCCCATTCGCTTTGGGTTCAAGCCGGATATTGCTATAATGCTGACATCTATGAAGGTAAGCCAAGTAGAATTTCAGAAGAAGATAATTTAGAAGGAGATACTTATGGATTAGGTGTGTCAGTAATATTGAATAAGATAGCAACCATAGACAAACCAGAGGAACACTGCTTTTATTTCGATAATTTTTTCACAAGTTTTGATTTGCTGAAAAATCTAAAAGAGAGAAATATACCTGCGACAGGAACGGTGAGATGTAATAGGATGAATAAGTGCCCTATAAAAACAGATAAGGAAATGAAGAAAGAATTTAGAGGGCTTTTGATTATAGATATGATGAAATAAATGGAATATTTGGTCTTGTTTGGAAAGATAACAGCATTGTTAAAATGTTATCAAATCATTTGGAAGTTTTACCTTTGGGACGTGTGCCGAGATGGTCTAGGGCTGAGAAAAAAAAATATTAATTCCACAACCCAATGCCATTATAAATTACAATAAGAACATGGGAGGTGTTGACAAGCTTGACTGGAATGTACAAAAGTATAGGATAAAAATTAGAGGCAAAAAATGGTACTTTCCTATTTTCACTAATGCAGTGGATGTGGCTCTAGTTAATGCTCATACAATATATTGTATTGCTAATGGAAAAATGCCGCTATTAAATTTCAGACGAGAAGTTGCACGGTTCTATTTGAATTTACATTCCGTGTCTGACCCGAAAAATTGTGGACGACCATCGTACAGTGTGAGTTCACAGAAGCGCGTACCAGAAGACGTAAGAAAAAATCCTCAAGGACATTATTTAGAAAGGAACATTGGACGGAAAACAAAGAAAATGTGCGGTTTGTAAAAAAAATGTTCGGAAACAGTGCGTGAAGTGTGATGTAGGATTACACGTAGAATGTGTTATTCCATGGCACTCTTAAAAAAATTTACAGTTATTTACATGCAATGTACCGTGATCCCCAAATGGGGATTGATTTTTAAATCCATAAAAAACATATTTTTTTTCTGTATTGTAAAATTTAATGTACTACATTGGTTTGCATGTAAATACGTAACTACATATTAAAAAATATTTAAAAAAAATCTGGCAGTTAATGAGTTAAGCAAAATAATCCGTTTTTATTTTCAAAAAATATTCGTTTAGTCATAGGCCTAACAAAATTTGTCATCAATGATGTTTTTAAAAGGAGCAATAGAAATGGATGTTGTATTTAATAGGAAATAAAAATAAGTTCCTATAAAAAGATCTCTTTATTTATACTCTTATTAAGTATATCTTTATTTCTTTTAGAGTTGATCGATTTATTAGAATGTCTGCACTTTATGTCATAACCATGTTTTCTACGCGATTTGAGAATATACTCATTCGTTTTTGAAGAACTCGTAATGTATTCCGCATTTAAATATTTGTGAAAAAATAATTAAACAAACCTAGATTTTTCAAAATGGAAAAGGGCTAAAATTGACTAAGCGGAAAAATGATGTCTCAAAATGGTGATGGATCCAGGATAATCTACTAGCACTAAGAATATTGAGCACTATTCCATTATCAAATAATAAAGTAAGTCGACGAATTCATGAAATGGCAACTTCCATAAAAGAGACTCTTATTTAAAAAATAAAAGACAGTATTTCGCATTTCAGTTGGATGGACGTACTGACATAACGTACTTTGTTCAATTATCAAGTTACATACGTTTCGAAAAAGATAAACGAATTACCGAAGAATATTTATTTTGTGAATCTCTTCATGATAGAGCAACTGCAAATGAAATTTTAAAAGTGACAATATTTTATCTGAGAATGAATGTTATTACTTGGAATAAGTGCATTGCTTTTTGCAGTGATGGAGCTTCGGCTTTAACAGGATAACTTTCTGGTTTTATTTCTCATATAAAGAAAGTCGCACCTGAAACTAAATTTACTCAATGCTCCATTCATCTTGAAGCTTTGAAAAATAAATACAGAATATTTGAAAAATACATGCAGAACGGAATTAAAAGTGGATCTTAATTTGCGGTTAAAACTAAGTGACCAGACATTAGGAAATTGATCTCTCTTAAACAGGCCCAAATTTCACACTAAATTGTAGAATTAAAGTGTTATAACTTAAATTTTGATAATTAAAATGGTAACCAATTTTTAATATAATTTTTAATGTGTGCATATTTAATGCAATAAGCCAAGAGGCTGCGCATTTGGCATTTTTTTTAATATTTCTATTGAGAAACTGAAACATAAGATTGTAAAATTTAGTGGTTGTACTACAGTTTTTAAATTTTTTGTTTAGATGCTACGCATTAGTCAAAAGGTTGAGAATCGCTGATCTAAAGGAATATATTAACAGAAGATAACATGTCGTAATTACCATATGTAACAACATTAAGGTTAAACGATTGGCAATTAATTGTGGGAGTATTTCATGAGCGAAATATGGATTTTCCTCTTACGTGCTGTAACATAAATGTGTAGAAAGTAATTAAAGCAATTAAATCATACAAATATGCCATATGCTATCTTTAAGTAAAGTAAAAAGAATATAGTGAAAGTGCTAAATGAGTTTTATGTTTGTTATAGTAAAAAATTATTTTATGAATATTAGTTTGTTCGAAAACTAAAGCAGTTCCTAATTTTGTTTGGCAGATGGAAGCTTGGATATAGTAATGAATCCAAAAATGATAAATGCTAAAAGTTTTATGGATTTAACACCAGCTTACTGGTTACGTAAGCTTAATCTCCTTTTGACTAACTATATATTTTACCTTTGATTTCATTAAATGTCACATTTTATTTAGAGAACATATTTGACACATTTATGTTATTCAGATTAAATATAAATCACTATGTAAAGAATCTGGTAATGAACAGTCCTAAAAATACCTTTTTCTCAGAAATATATCCAATTTTCTACTATACAGGCTATAAGAGGAAACCTAATATAAAATAATATTAAAGTGTTAACATGTTGATGGTTTATTAATACAAGATGCATATTGCACCGAAGGAAACTAATAGTTAATATGCAGTAAACTTCAATGAAGCAGAAGGATGACTAAGCCCCGAAATCATTCCTGAAATTTGATAGCATCAAACATGCTAAATAATAAATAGTACTAGTGAGTAAATAATAAATACGAACGAAGTGCAGTGATGCAGAAATTACAAACTACCTGATACACTAGTGAATGGATACAAACGAGTTTGTTAAATATTTATATTTAAATTTCTATATATATAATTAATACGAGATTTAGTAACATTTCCTCATATTCTTTGGGTAATTATGCTCTGCGAATATATGTACTCACCTTTCTTGAAACCTGCAGAACTTGTCAGCAGAGAATATGTTTTGCAGTTATTGGGAATTTGTGTCACTTAGACGAACTGAGTATGTCAGAAATATGTTACTTAGGTACAGGCTCCTCTTGATACATCAAAGGTGCAGTTCTCTGCACAACATATATAAAACTTAATTAAAAATCCTTTTGTACTTCTCTTGGTTCTGATAATTAAATGCTTACGTATGCTTAAGATGTTTTATTAGAAATTATACTGTACCATTAAGTTCGAAACAGGGTCTTAAATTTGATGCTTAGATGCGACAACTTTAGCCGATAATATCTTCATTTTACAGAATACACAAATATTGCCAGAAGGCCTGCTACAAAACGGAGTTAATTACGAAATATTGCATGAAAAAAATTAAAACGTTTTCTTGAAACCCGCTTTCAGAATATCTGAGCGAAAAAAAGTCTTCAGTTTTCGCTGCATACGCAAAGTATGCTATATTTCTATTTCAAAACATTCCTTTTCCTGTCTAAAAATTACAACGAATGAGTTAAATATTCCTTTAATTTACTACTAAAGTCTGAATCTAGAAAAATTAAATCAGAAATTTTTGAGCAGATAACCATGCACCTGTTCTGAAAAATAGTCAAACATAAATTTTTAAAATAAAGAAACACGTGTTTTAAAGATTTCTTCATTTTTCAAAGGATTATACAGTGTTATTGAGTCTGAACGTACTTAAAAAATCTGTTAAAACTTTCTGATCTTTTGGAAGCTTTCATCTAATAGACATTATCTGCTGTCTTCCTAAATATTTTTTTTTCTTTTTCCGTAATAACTAATAACTTCCGTAACTACCTTTAATGCTTGTTAGATAGGAAGTGGTTAATTCACAAATCAATTAACCTGTTACCGGTTGAGTTCTATAGTAAGTATTATACTTTGATCTTGTTGAGATATTTGTATTCGCATTCTTACTGGTTAAAAGGAAGTAAAGCTTTCTGTCAAGTCCGAAACATTCATTAGCTTTCAGCCAGGTCCGAGTTATTCTGAAACTAAATCCCATTCTGCATGTTACTTTTGATTGGTTATTTATTGTGTCTTGTTTATGATTTGTTAAACCATGATCTGTTATGAAGTTATATATATGACCTTTGTAAACGCTTATCGCTGCTTAGTATTATTCTGCCTGTACTTATTTATCTGTGCTATTGCTTGTACTTAGTATTACTCTGTTTGCATGTAACTCTGCGTATTACTCTGCATTATCTCAGTAATAAATATTTGTTTTGCGAACCACGGCATTTTCTATGTTTAACAGATCTCATTCATAACATAATTTCTTCATATCTTATGGTACGTATTATCTTTATTTGTATAGGGGTTTTTCATTTCGAATGCAGATTTAATTTATGTAACGAAACGAATTTATTCTCCAGAATACTGTTGTTTCAAATGCGGGACACTTGCAACTTAAAGCGTTCATCAAGAATGACCAATACTTATTGAACATTCAACCGTCTTATCGGACGTTGCTTAAGATGCGCTTCAGAGAGCGGCAGTTTTACACCTTTCGGAATGAGGAAGTTCCGTCCCAGTTTTGATGGAGAGCACACCGTTCATAGATTCGAGGGTTTCCCACACCTCTTCCTCTACGACTGAATATCTCGAGTGGACATTTCGCTCGATAGTATTTTGAATGCATCTATGCCTCAACACAAGTAGGTTGTTAACAGAATATTTAGTTTATTATAATATAAATTTTCCTCTTTAATATATCTACTTAACTACTGCAGGTTTCGCCGTTCTTTTGAGTTAATCTTGAACGTCATTCCCCGTGTTATTCTGATTAAACTGGACTTGACAGTATGTGAAAGATGTTGGTTAACTTCGGTGAAAGATTTTGGTAATTGTCAGTGGTGTACGATGATTTCAGTACCCAGTGCACGTGAGTGCGTGCTTGCATACCTGTCATTAAGCGTTTTAGATTACGGGAGGTATTCGCCTTACCGTTTCAGATGTGTTTCTATCACAATTTCACTAATAGCTAACATGTAACTGCTTCTCCTTTTCCAGCTGTTAATTAACACTGGCCACCGCATACAAACCAACTGTCAACAACTTGAAACCAACTGGCCACGACGTACAAGCATCACTGCTTACACAGACGACGTAGCCCTTCTCATAAGAGGACGCACCAGAGACGAACTGGAATGCAACAGCACAGAGGCCTGTAATTTATTCACCACCGCAGGCAACAAACTAAAGCTCACGATCTCCATAGAAAAATAGTCAGCCATAAAAATTCCCAGACGAGGTACCAATTCAACGCATCGTCCACGCATCAAACTGCTAGGCAGAAACATCAAAATTGAGCGGAATCTCAAATAACTAGGGGTAATAGGAGACCAAGGTCTCATCTGGATTCCGCATATCATTGAAATCAGAAACAAGACATCAATTATCGCCCTCATAACAAGACAATTTCAAAGTCGCAACTGGGGCCAAAACACCCATATCCAAAAGGTGCTATACCTTACAGTTGCAGAAACAATAGCTTTATGCGCAGCAGTGATCTGGGCGCAGCCAATGGCAGCTCGCAAGATCAGGCAACTTACAACGTTACAGCACCCCTTTCGCCCTGCAACTAAGCAAAGCCTACCGCAGAACCGCCATCAGTGCAGCAACAGTTCTGGCCCGCATATTACCACTCCATGTGAAATCAGAGATGCAGGCCTTTCACTAAACTAATCAACCTAGGCAAAGATGTAACTTTCGCAAATGCAAACTACTGTCCAGTCCAGTTCGAAAGTTTCTCCGCCTCTATGCTTACCCATCCAGCTCTGAAAGAAAGGGGAATCCACATCACAATTGACAAGCAACAGACTCACACACGTATCACGGACCGGGACACGATCTAAACAGACGGTTCAAAGGAAGGGAATGGTGTAGGCAGTGCATTTGTGCACTGAACACTCACAATAGCATCTTCCAGGCGGAAGTGCTGGCAATTACGGCTGCAGTGCGATAGCTCATATATAACCAGATCCCACGAGCAATTACCTATACCGATAGACTGTCAACTTTACTTGCGCTTGAGAACCATCATCATATCTCACCGCTCATACTCAGTCTTCAGCATCTCCTTATGAAACACCCTCAATACCATCTCAACCAGGTCTGAGTTAAAGCCATGCGGATAATGAGGGCAACAAGGTTTCAGACCAAAGATGCAGTTTCTAACCCGACAGCCCAACCGTAACTGCACCCTCCGCTTATCTAAAGGACCTCTTCTAAGAGCAAGGAATGAACCAATGGCAACGAGAGTGGACCGAATGCGAGACAGGCAGACCGACTTTCACCCACCTCCCAGAAGTTTCACCTACCGACTCTTTACCATAGCACCTCTGACCTACTTCATCACGGGTCACGGCCCGTTTCCAAGTTACTACAATCACCATAGTATCTCAGATACCGATATCTGTGTCTGCGGATCAGATTAGTCACCAGATTATTACGTATTTGAATGTCCCTCGACTTCTGCACACCATTTTCTGCTACCTACAAATAATAGGGACGTCTATCATCGGTTCCTTATAACACATTAAGGAGCGGTTAATTCAGTCTTCAGCATCATTTATCCCATCGTGGCATTGGGCGCAGACCTTTGCCAACCGTGCTAAAATGACGCGGTCAGCAGACTTCAGCCTCCAAGCTGTGGTGTACGATCTACCACTACTCCAATGGATTTTAAAATATCTGCTCATCACAACAACTTTGTGTGTTTAAGCTCCCATGCCCACCAATTTGATGAGTACAATACTAATAATTCGCACGTGCATAACATCTCCTTAGTCAGATGCCGTATCTGTAACCCATTAACCGCCAAAACTACAAGGAATGTTTCTTCTCTCATGAAAATAATAACAAATATTAAATTAAGCATTTATAACATAAATTTACATTGAAAATAAAAAAAAAAATGTTCTTACTTGTGGAAAACGCGAGTGTTGCGTTCGCGCAACGTCAGCGGAATAAGACTACGGATGTTTAGCGAGTAGGATTGTACTCGCTGATGTTTCTTTTGAATGGAGCGCAGGATTACGTTTTAGCTGTATAACGTTTTATAAATCTACAAATCACTTTACTTGTAAGTTAATTTAATATTAAAATATACATTGTATTTATTTTACAAATACAGATTATTTCAATTGAAAGATTCAAGCATGAAAAGCTTGATTACAGTCATGATGTAAAGCTACATTACATACTTTGCATCTATAAACAGCCTGGCTATGGTTCTCTTTACAACAAAGTCTTTTGTTATCAACGGACTTTACGATAAAATGTCTACCGTCTCCATGCAGTGGTTTTTGAATACTGAATTTACTAGGTCTTCCTGTTGCTGATCTATTTCTGGCTGATTCTACACTCTCAATAGGAGTTTGCAAAAGGAATAATGCATTCTCGCGTCTGAAATCTAAAAGATACTTTATATTATCAGTAGTAAAAAGTGGTGATATTTAGTAATTTTAGATACGGTCTCACCTCATATAATTTATCAGTATTGTCAATTTGACTATTGTCAAATGCAAATTCTGCTTCATATTCCTGTACTGCAAACGTGATATCGATTGTCGTACAACAGGAACAGAAATTTCCTTATCAAAAGACCAATACATTTTTTCTTGAGGTAAGCAATGATATCCTGTAAGCAACAATTTTCCAATAAATCTTCTCATATAGGCTTCAGATGCAATAAATTCTGGGCGCTTTTTTTTTTTCGCTGAGCGTATATATTTATCTGTTCAACGAGAAGAGAGTAAATGGCTAAACCAAAATGAAAATCGAAAATCAGTGCACTAGTTTTACCTTGTATTTTGTCTTTTTATAATTTCTCTTCTATCTCTTTCTTCATGTTTTTCCTGAGACATAACTAACAGTTCCTTTTTTATACACTTCAAGATTTCAGTCTTCTGCTTTTCAAACTTTTTAGTATGACTATAACTGCTTTTAGAAGGCTGAAACTTACCTCTTACATGAATTTAAACTTCCCAGCAGTACCATTTGGTAAAATATTATTATCATTATTTAAAACATTGCCATTCCTTTCTTCTTCGTCACTAGATTCTGAAATTTCTGGGGGAACAACAACAATATCAGCTTCATTTTGGTCAGTATTAACATTAACATCATCTGTTTCTTCATCAAAAAATCTTTGAAGGGCTTCTTCTAATGTAAGATACCTCATTCTAGGCATTTTTAAACAACCAGAACATGAAACAGAACATCGAAATGAATGAGTGAAAATGGAGATTGATTACCCGTTTCCTGTTGACGTTGCGTTGGCGCAACACCTGTTTCCCTCCCTTCCCAACACAAATATAAACATCTGACTGATGTAATGTTCTGATAAACGGTGACCTTGACTAAAAATAGATCACTCATAAAGACGGCGATTCTTTCGTTAAATATTTTCAGCAAAAATACCCGGTCGAAAATGCTGCTTAAATTTTGCTTAAAGTATGAGAATAATTATTATAAACAAAATGATTGTTGAAGGCAAATATTTTTTTTACACAAATAATCTTCATAATATTCCTTTCACAAAATCATCTGCTGGTATAAAATATCTTAGGTAGTTAAATTTATATACGCATTTCTTTTGACCGTTGCGTCAACGCAACATCAGCGGCTAATGGGTTAATGATATGTGTGTAATACCTTCAACATCATCTGAACATTCATCTTCTAGTGCAATGTTAGTGAACGTTTGCTTGCCTCATCGTGCAGTGTGCCTCACGTTCATGTACCTCACGGTGCACTAATTGCTGGGGCTCTGCCCAATAATTAGTGCTACAGTATCTTCATGCTCTTTTATTGTGTTTTTAGTAAGTGCTATACCAGTGCCTGACGCTACAATAATCAACTCCTTACTCAATCTAACTTCACTCATCTGCACTCATGAATATTCACGAACTCATCATTCATGGTGTACCAGTATTTATATATATCAGAACTGCCCAACACTAACCTTGTGCTTCAGCCTTCATGAGACTTCATGTACTCCAATTGTCTTTAAGTGCTTTAAGTGATTATATTTATATACCTATTTTATGTGTTCTCTGTTATTTTGCTCTTTGTGTTTTGTGCATTATATGTTTATGTGCCTTTATGTGTTTTTATGTGTATGTCTTATTGTATTTTTAGTTTAACTACTTACCAACTGTAACATCACAAGTTGTCTCTTCAATCTGTAATACAATCCTACTAATGCAATCTTAAGGCCATGTACTTCCCTTTGACATCCTTAATAACCTTCCGGTGCAGCCTCGTAGGGTTGCAGGGTGTTATTGCTGTAGTTAGAGGGGGCGTGGAGCATATGCCAGTTTACCTCTGTTAGACACCAAGTGTTTCCGTCCTCCGTAACCTACCTACCTGTTTACTAACACTCTGTTTCAATTGCAATGAAGGCAGAAGATGACATTTTTTTTGTTCATTGACATACTAAATATGAAAACTTAAGGCAGCACAGGAGGAAACGCAAGCGTTGGGGTTCCTGGTTCTAATGCTCTCCATCTGTACCTACAGCTAGGTCAAGTACAGGAAATTCATCGTGACCGAACTCATTAATTTATGCCTTAGCCAACTGTCATTAACTTAAGCCTTAACTATCTTTAACTTAAATCGTTAACTTTGGCTTACAATTGACAATACGAATCGGCTCAGCTGTGTCCCCCTTTTGCTAAAAAACCCCGAATGGTATAAGGACCCCTACCCTTCGTCCCTTACCATCAAAGTCTGCAATGAGCGTTCGACTCAACGGTATTTTTGCTGCCTCCATGACGCTAAGAAAATATACACTTACAATCTTCTATCCCTTCTCCGTGTTTCTAATCTAGGTTAAAGACTGTGCTATTAATCTCCTCTACTACAATGCCTACAGTGAAATGATAAATAAATATAAAAACTGTAACATTGTAGGTTACTACCCCATTGATTTAGAAATTTTGCAATGTTAAAATTCTTAAATGAATTGGACAGTAACCTTCAACGCTAGCAGTGACGTAACGACAATATTGCTGTTCAGGAGGATTCACGCTCTTAATCCAACCGATACAATCTCCTACATACTATATTCAATAGAACTCCTAACTTTCTTGAACTTTAAGTAGCGTATTACAGTTGAAATTTCCTCACAGAAAAGGCAAAACATCGGTTAATTTGGGCTATACTGTGTACATCTCAGGAACATTTTAGATATAATTATAATTATTTATAATGAAACTAAAATTACTCAAACTGTGTAGACGGAATAGGAATGAGTATATTCATTTTAAATCAACAGCATTTTTAATGAGCCGGAAAGGGTTGAACTCATCCTCAGCACTCTAGTATCTTTCAAAAATGTTTCCTTTTAAAGCCAGACAGTTTCCAGTGCGCTTTATATCCATGACTTCAATATTACACGCTAACACGCTATGTAGTTAGACCTAGAACAAAATCTAAATCTGCAAAAAAGAGCGTGTTGAACAGTCATGCGCGGTCTATAAATGGAGTATGTCTTTTTGTAAAAACTGAATTTTTTATTTTCGTTCAAAATGCGTGGTCCCATTAGAAACAGAAGAAAATGGAAATAGGCTTCCCGTTCTGTTCTGTGTTTTACAAAGTAATCGCAAAAATGTTATTCTTGGTAAGTTTCATAAATCGAATACGTATAACTAATACCTTCTATTCAACAAACTGTAAAATATTTCCATCTTAGTCTGCACGAAATATTTCTTCCTTCAGCACATTTAGCCCTCTATATATACCGCAAACAAAACATTTATCATGATTTTCCATCAGCCTTTCGGCAGAAAAATTCTTTTTTCCTACAGGGCATTGGGAACGAAGAAGAATGATGATCACAAGGTTCATAAAAATATTTCCATTGGAATTTTTTGTCCTATTTTAAATTCGAATGCTCTCTGCCGTGAGTGGACACAATAATACTTGGCCAGCAATGATTCTCTAGAAAAATGACATTTTATGTGGACAGCCGATATATCTAAGGTTTAATGCAGCTATTAGTGGTATCTATCTGGCATCATGCCACGTGGTAAAGATTACTTTTCCATCCCAAGAATTCGAAAGAAAATGTCCTTAGTATCGCATGTATACGAAGATAAAAGTAGCTCTATTAAAGTACCATTTTCTGTCCTAACTTACTATTTAAAGGAACGTGCTGCTATAAATTATTCGAAAGATAGATAGCCGTGATTTATAACCAGGTAAAAATGATTTGGCGTGTTTCTTGCAGTTAAAAAGCACGCTACTGAGATCTGCATTTTTTAGTACTTTTGCATCTATATCTCAAAATAATATGAAGTACCAATGATTAACTCTCTCAAGAATTCATCAAAATATGGAAAAAAGTATTCAAAAATTACACAAAGGAAATAAAGTAAGAATGTGCAACTATTTTAGATAGATATAGGGATTTTGCTATCTACAAAAGGATAATTTTGTTAACCAAACATTTTAAACAGAAGTTAATTCATACGGTAACAAAAAGTAGCTAAACAGCTGTGTATCTTTTCCACAATTTTTTTTTTTTTTTTTTTTTTTTTTTTTTTTTTTTATGAAACGGGAGAAATACCATACTGGAAGTGCCTTTGAGGGATTGTGATTATGATTTTGATTAAATTGTATTATTGTTTTTTTAATTGTATGTGCGGTTATGATGATTGCAATGGCAGATACCATTAGGTATAAATATCAGATTTTGACGTGTAATATCTGCACCATATCTATACATATGGAGTGTGTTATTAAGGAGAGGAAGGAATAAAGAGAATTGATGGCAAAGTGGTTAATAATCATCTCTATTTTTATACGAGATTTTAAATTGAATTTATCCTTAACATAAGATTTATTGATGAAACTTATTCACCCTTAATATAATAATTTTGATCTTTTTTTATTAACAGTTAATTAATACACATTTTTAAAACACACCCAGAATATTCCATTCAGGATTTCTGGGTCTATACTCATTTCTGCGCAATACAATATCTTTATTGTAGAGTTACAAGGAATTTGTTTCTTAATTGAAACGTGACAAGCTAATGCATACGATAGGTTTCGATAGTTATTCTCCATTTTACTGCATCTTTTTAGTGATGTTTTCATTTTTTATTTAGTGGCATTTGACTCTATATTTCCTTTATTTTTTTGCTTATTGGTTACTCCTTTTCCTCAAACTAAATTGAAATTTAATATTGGAATTTTAAGATCACTGTTAATCACTTTAAAAGATTTTGCGAAACGGACATTTACAATACTTTGTGCAGCTCCTTTAATTTAAATAATCATTTATTTCATTTTCGAATAAATGAGATTTTGCAATTGTTAAGATAGAGCATATTCTGTCTCATGAAGGCCTCATTACTAGGTTTGTTATTCTAAGATAAACGTTCTAGTCTTCGGTCTTGCATTATACTGGTTGATAGTTAAATTGACACTGGTTAGTCTGAATCCACTTCACGGTAAATTACTCTCTGCAACATTTGGCTATTAGTCATTTAAATTTGGCTTTATATATGAATTTCTTCTTTGAGTTTCTTGCCATAAATGATGGCAAAAATGCGAGCATCAGGAGCGCACTCTGTTCAATTTATATAGTTTTAAATAAAGGATTTTTACACTCTTCTCAAGTTTCTGTTGTACTTCAGACATAGCAATAGCACACTTAATGTCTACCGAAAGTTTGGTTACAGTTTCTATAACTGAATAACTTTAAAACAATATAGGTTATCCAAATTTGTATTTTCTGCAATTTTCAATTCTCCATTTACCTTTTTTTTTTTTTTTTTTTTTTTTTGGTAACCTGTATATTATATTTCAGTTTTCAGGTTCCTATTTTTTTAAAATCTAAAATTAATAAATGTTCTTGCGCTTGTTTAATTTATTTTATTTTTTGTATATTTTATATACATTATATAAACTTTAAAACCACATCAGTTCATTGGTGATTATTTCACATTATAGTAGATACTATCAAGATATAACTTTAATTCAATGTTTCTTAAATTTTTTAGAAACTTCAAATTTTGGGATTGGTATAATCCATTTAATTATTTTAAATTTAAGAAAAACTTTAATTATTTTTACAATTCATCCAGATGTATTTAAAAAACATAGTTTTGTTGATAAATCTTTCAACTGTTCCTTGACAAGAAACAGAGAGCCGTTATTAAAAACTATTTAATATTATGTTAATTTTGTTTCATTTTTGTATTAATTCTTTCAGTTTTTCCGAGTTATTGATTCATATATTCTAACATTATTTTAGATGTGTGTGCCTGTATATATATATATATATATATCTGACTGGCAAGGCCGTAGATATACGACCTAGAATATGTTTTGAGGTGGCTGTAAGAATATATATATATATATATACACACACACACACACCGAAGAGCCATTACATTATGAATAACCTGTCAATAACACTAGGACCAGCTTTAATCTCAAAACTGTCAGCTCCCGGCGTGGTATTGACTCCACAAGTTGCTGATGCATAGTCTGAGGTATCTGGTACCAAGCGCTCACTACTTGGTCTTGTAGTTTCCGCATATTGCGAGGGGTAGGTGGCAGCACTAATATAGTTTTCCAGGTGGGACCATAAATGAGGCCATGACATGATTTGAAAAACGCTGGAATGTTCCTCGAACCTCTGCCTGATGGTTCGAGATGGTGCATTTTCCTGTTGGTAAACACCATTCCTCACCGAAAATACTGTTGTCATGAATGGATGAATCTGGTATACAACGATGTTCACGTAGCGCACAGACGTCCGTGATTGTT